ACCCAGCGCAGGCTGCACCCACACCTCCAGTGTGTGCCAGAATACTCTGGAGGTAGCTGGAGTATTCTGGCCAGTGAAGACAAGCCCTTACTCCCAGGTAAAAGCATATAGGAGAGCCACTTAAATACACTTAGAAGTTAAAAGATTCCTATTAGGTGCAACCTAAGCCTATTTCTGCGTTTGTATGTCTTCAAGTCACCTAGTGACTTAGGGTGACCCTATGAATTTCATAGCATTTTCTCTGGTAAGGAATACTCAGGTGGTATTCCCAGTCATTGTTGTTGTTGTGTGCCTTCAAGTTGTTTCTGACTTATGGCAACCCAAAGGTGAACCTATATGGGGTTTCCTTGGCAAGATTTGTTTAGAGGAGGCTTGCCACTGCCTTCCCCTGAGGCTGAAAGAGTGTGATTTGCCCATGGTCAACCAGTGGGTTTCATGACTGAGCTGGGAATCAAACCCTGGTCTCCAGAGCTATACTCCAACATTCAAACCACTATGTCACACTGTCTTTGGCTTTACCAGATCCTTCATCTGAAATATAGCTTATAGCAACCTGGTATTTGTTGGCGGACTCCCATCCTAATACTAAGCTGGGCTGACACTGCTTAGCTTCAAGATCAGACGGGATCTGGTGCCTTTAGGGTATTTAGGCCAAGTACTAAAGGCTCTACACTCCTGCAAACAAAAAGATGGCCAAGTGCCATGCCTTGATGTATATAACTCCTCAAGTCTACCCATGATAGAAAAGACAGCTAACATTGTGCAATACAGACTGAAATCAGTTTAATTTGTACAATATATTCAGTTTTTCTTTAAACAGAATTTGAATGTAGGATTTTGATTCAGTGCAGAGCTCACACACATCTCTGGTTGTGATCTGTGCACTAAATCAATGCACACTGAACTCAATTATGCTGTTACCAAAGCAGCTGATTTACGTGTTCAAATCTAGATTTCTCTCCTCCTGCCCTTAAACACACACATTATTTATCTTTACAGAATGATAAACTGAAGCACAAGAGGCCTTTATAAATCAAGAGCTGACAGATACCAATCACAGCAGGTAAACCTCTTAGGATACAGAGAAACTGGTGTTGTCAGTGTGATGTAATTCCATCTCGAAAGCTAAGTAGCTCTGGGCCTCACTAGTACATGGCTGCAAGACCACCTGGGAACAACTTAAGTGCAAGTCTGAGCCTCTGGTAAACAGCAGGATATGCACTGCTTCTTTTACATGATGTTTGCTCCATTTCACTTGACCATCACTTCTGATCAATCAGTGGATATAAGCCTAAACCCAACTGTGAGTCCCACCTACTGAATCAATCAAATTTACGTAAGTGTTGACTTACTACTGATATAATGGGTCTATCTACTCTGGTTGAAACTAGAAATTTGGCCTAAATGTCCAAAGTAATAAAAGCCCAACACAGAGAAAGTGGAAAGAGGTGGGAGATACTGTGATTTAGTCAACAAACGTTATTAAATATATAAATATGACCCTGTGAGCTGAATTGGACGTATATGAAAAAGCTGGTTTAGCTTTCCTTAGGTCTTGAGTGTATTCTATTTATCTACTCAGATGCAGCTGCAAGGTGGAGCTTGGAAGCTTTTGCTTCTGTTTTTGATCACTAGCTTTCTATGCCATCTGAACACAAACTGTGTTCCACTGTTGCTACTATTTGCCATCAAGTTGGCTTCAACTCATGGTGACCCTATGAATGAGAAACCTCCAAGAAACCTGGTTATCAGCAAACATCATGACTTCCAAGCTCAGGGTTGTGACTACCTTTAATGAGTCAATCTATCTGTAATATCATCTTCCTCTTTTTCTACTACTTTCAAGCAATTATGAATTATATTTTTATGAAGCTTGTTTATTCTTACAAAACACAGTGTAGATTAACCACAATTTGGGATTCAGAAGACACTGTAGTTCATCCAAAAAAGAAATGAAGCTTAAGATACATCCTAAGATGGAGTCAAACCTGGCCAGATGCATACCAGCTCAAAGCTAAGCCTGACAGGGATCAGAAATACCCATGAACTTTCCCTCTATGTGCATATGCATGTTCTTGCTTGTTCTCTCTCTCTCCTCTCAGATCCTGTATCTTACCACTCACACACAGATGTTCTTTCTCTTTTCCCCCCGTCTCATATAATTTTCCTCCAGCAATCAACTAGTTACAGTATTAGTTAATTAATCGACTAGTTAAAGCCTGCAGAACTATGAACATCATCTTGTGTAATATTGATCTCTAATGAGATAGTTTAACCCCAAATCCTCATTTTAATAACCATCAGATTGCTCCCTTAGATAAACCTGGATTTCTAAGTGTTTTGTGTCTGAAGGCTGGGAAATTCTGTTTATCCTGTGCTTCTTTGCCTAGGGGTTCCATACCTAGACAATTTTATCCATTCACATGATGAAATCATTGTTGTTATTGTTAAGAGTCAATTTCGACTCATGGCAACCCTATGGATGAGACATCTCCAAGACCCTCTGTCCTCCACTGCTCTGCTTTGCAAATCTATACCTATGACCTCCTTAATAGAGTCCATCCATCTGGCATGTGGCCTTCCTCTCTTCCTACTTCCCTCCACCTTTCCCAGCATTATTGTCTTTTCCAATGAGTCCTCCCTTCTCATGATGTGTCTGAAGTGCAACAGCCTCATTTTGGTCATCTTGGCTCCCAGGGAGGTGTCCGGCTTGATCTGCTCTAGGACCCAATTGTTTGTCCTTTTGGCTGTCCATGGGATACCAGATTTTAATGGGATAAATTATTTAATGCAAAAGGATTTCAAGATGTAGATGATACCAGATTGCAGCACACTAGCCTTAGAAAGTCTGCTTTTTATCTGTGCGACTTAAATAAGATTACTTTCAAAATGGAAAAGATTTTAGGATTTCTGCCTCCAATTCACTTGCCTTCTCCTCATGACCAACAATTGATGAATATGCTCCCAAATGCCTAAGCATGGTTAGGTAAAGGAATATATTTATTTCTTGTATTTATTATACAAGAAAGCCAGCATAGTGTAGTCCTTGTAATATTGGACTAGGACTCTGGGAGACCAGAATTCAAATCCCTGCTCCGCCATGGAAACGCACTGGGTGACATAGAAAAGTTACATGCTCTCAACCTCAGAGGAGGGCAACAGCTAATCTCATCTGAATAAATCTTGCCTAGAAAGCTATGGGATAGCATCACCATAAATCAGTTGACTTGAAGTTGGAGTTGTCATAACAACAAACAACAACATAGTCCATCTCTTCTGCAAGGAACTCAAGGTGGCATCCATTGCTTTTATCTTCTCCAATTTGTCCTAACAGCCCTGCAAGGGATGTCAGCTCTGACTAAAAGGGAGGGGAAGAAGGACAGAAACAGAGAACTACACTTTCACAGCTTAGTGGAAACTTGAATTGCAATCTCTTAAATCCCAATCTAAAACCCTAACCTGAGAATGAAATCATGCAGCCCAAAGAAAAGAGATTCCACCTCAACATTAGGGAGAACTTCGTGACAGTAAGGGCGGTTCGAGAGTGGAACACACTCCCTCAGAGAGTAGTGGAGTCTGCATCCTTGGAGGTCTTTAAGCAGAGGCTGGATGGTCATCTGTCAGGGATGCTTTGATTGTGAGTTCCTGCATGGCAGGGGGTTGGACGGGATTGCCCTTGTGGTCTCTTCCAACTCTATGATTCTATGAAAGGATGTCTACAGCTGGGAGGAGGAGGAGTGCTTTTCTGCAGAAACATCCTCCATACATACATATGGATTTTTAAATGGAGAATTGTACTCCAGAGATCTGAAGGCACTACAGTTCTCTGCTTGGGCACCTTCTATTGGAAAAGGCTCAAACCAGAAAATTTTCAGAATGGCAGTGAGTGAGAAATGACTTCTGGTTTTGGAAATTGGGGTGTGGCCAGTGAGAATCCAAGAGTGCTGAAAATGGAAAACATGAAGTCCCTGGATTTTGGGAGCTGCCCATCCCTTCCCAAACTACTACATCTCAGTGCATCAGAGTGTTGCATATGCCCCTAGTGTAAACTTGTAACACCCCCTGCTGAACATGTGTAACCCTGAATCCTAGAAACCTGTATCTGCCACAATGTCTTTTTCATATCTTTGACAAATCACAGTTTATATCAGCTTCACTTCCCTCTCTCTGAATCCAGAATAATAGGTATCTGTTAACATGACAAGGCAAAGCTGTTATGAGAATAAATCCAGCAGAAACTGACAAACTGGGAGAAGGAGCAGTAGGGGGGCTCCAAATTATTTGCAGAGTAATTTCTATGCATGAAAAAGGGTGAGTGTGTTTTCTGTGTGAGAATGGATGAGTGTGCTATGTACCATTTACATTTCTATACATCATGTATACAATATCATCTTCATCATCACTATCTTTATTTCTAGTGCACTGTTTTCCCCCAACCAGGACTCAAGGTTACTTAGAAATGAAGCCAAATACAAAACAGGTGCAGGTATTTAAAAAAAAAAAAAAGATTAAAATGTAATTCATCTATCAATAACATTGAAACAGTTTAAAACATGTATTTTTTTATGAAAAAGTTTAAAATAGCATCCTTTATTTTGAAACATGCCTTTCTTTAAAAAGAGCCAGCTCATTTTATATATAACTGTGTCTGTCTTGCATCGTTTGTGATTATGTATGTGATTATGCACGTACGCGTACAAAAGAGTGCATGTCTTGGAGGAAAGAATGAGGTTGGCTCAGCCTACATTTTGGCTTGGCACCACCACTGCTGGCATTCAGACCCCAGAAAGTCAGAAACAAAGGAATGTGACCTTTGGGCCGAAGAAAAAATCCCTTCCCTATGATGGAGGGAGGGAGCAAAACCATTATTTCTGCAACTTTGGATGGCGTACCATTCAGCTGTCCTGATTTGGCAGGGACAGTCCCACTTTTCCAGCTGCTTTTAAAATGTCCTGGTTTCTCTCTCCTCCTTTTGTCCTCTGCTTACTACAGTTGCTGTCAAATGAATCCAAACTGCAAAAATAGTCAACTTTAAATTAACTGAGTGGAGGGGGAAGAGAGGAAGGGGTAAAATATTGCCCTTCCTGGTAGGCTCAGGCAAAAGCAAACTGCTGCACTGTTTGTGTTCTCCCTCATGAACAACTTTTGCCATCTTGACAACTGTTGGCTAGGCAATACTTGTCTCTAGTTTTCATCATCAAAATGTTGGAGGGTATGGGATACATATTTGGTCATTTATATTACAGGCAAGAATTGTGTAGATTTCCAGGCATTGGTAGACTGTATGTCCCAACAGCTCTAGCCAGCAGAGCCATAGCTGAGGAAATCTGGGAGCTACCTCCAACAACATCTGGAAGGTGACACAATTCTCACCTTTGCCTTAGATCAGTGGTTCCCAAACGTTGGTCCTCTAGATGTTTCGGAGTTCAGGTTCCAGAATTCCTGACTGTTAGTCAAGCTGGATAGGGCTTCCAGGAGTTGAAGTCCAGAACACTTGAAAGACCAAAC